GCGCTTTGAAACTCTGTCCATAAAAATTCTGAACAAAATTGGTGATAAAGTGATAACCTATCACCCAAGCTGAGGTCATTAAGGTAGTTTGCAAGCTCCGCAGTGGCAAAGCAGCTGGGGTGGATGAGATTCACCCTGTGTGTCTTAGGTCTCTGGACGTTGTGAGGCTGACTTGGCTGACCCGTCTCTACAATATCGCATGAAGGTCAGGGACAGTACCTCTGGACTGTGCAACTGGGGTGGTGGTACCAATTTTTAAGAAAGGGGGACCGGGGAGGGTACTCCAACTATAGGGGGATCACACTCCTCAGCCTCACTGAAAAAGTCTAGATGCCAGGGTACTGGAGAGGAGGTTCCGGCCGATGGTTGAACCTAGAATCTTGGGGGAACAATGCGTTTTTTGTCCAGGCCATGGTACACTAGATAAGCTCTATACCCTCACCAGGGTGCTCGAGGGTTCATGGGAGTATGCCCAACCAGTCCACATGTGTTTTGAAGACTTGGAGAAGGCATTCGACCGTGTCCCTCGTGGCATTGTGTGGAGGTTGCCTTGGGAGTTTGAGGTTAGAGGCAGATTTGTTCCCAATGCATGTTGGACATATATTGTCACCTATATATATATATATATATATATATATATATATATATATATATATATATATATATATATATATATATATATATATATAATTATAATTACATAGATTTCGCAGCACAAAACGAAGAGCAATCAAGGAATTTTTAGTCCATCTGCATTATACGTTTCTGCTGTAACAATACAGCTGAGATGACTCTACCCAGCAATTACAAGTAATATTTAAAAAATATATACAGTTAAAGTCAGAATTATTAGCCCCCCTTTGATTTTTTTCTTTTTTAAATATTTCCCAAATTATGTTTAACAGAGCAAGGAAATTTTCACAGTATGTCTGATAATATTTTTTCTTCAGGAGAAAGTCTGACTTGTATTTTTTCAGCAAGAATAAAAGCAGTTATTAATTTTTTAAACACCATTTAAAGGACAAAATTATTAGCCCCTTTAAGCTATACATTTTTCGATAGTCTACAGAACAATCCATCTTTTTACAATAACTTGCCTAGTTAACCTAGTTAAGCCTTTAAATGTCACTTTAAGCTGTATAGAAGTGTCTTGAAAAATATCTAGTCAAATATTATGTACTTTCATCATGGCAAAGACAAATAAATCAGTTATTAGAAATGAGTTATTAAAACTTTTATGTTTAGAAATGTGCTGAAAAAATCTACTGACTGTTGAACAGAAATTGGGAAAAAAATTAACAGGGGGTCTAATTCAGGGGGCTAATAATTCTGACTTCAACTGTATATGTATATAATAATTAAAATATCTGATTGAATTTCCTTTAAATATTAAAGTACGCTTCATCAATAATGATTTTCAGTCTATGAACACACATGAATATGCATTTATGTGTGTATATACAGATTGTTTATGCTGTGTGCTGTTAAAATTGTGAATGATACTCCAGTGTACTAAAAATAGCTGTCATAAGTACAGATAAACCTGTTTTTGCGACTCAGACTCCAATACCTTACAATAAGGGTCAAATCACAAAATTTATTTAGGAGAGACACCTGGTGGAGAAACCATGCATACTGCAATTTTCTGTGTTCAGAGCTAACATTTTTGAGTTTTTTTTTTAAACTCTGGGTATTACTCTTGTAACATTTTTCGAATAATGAAGGCCATCACAAGTTGAAACTCTGCATCTCTGCAAACTCATCTCTGACAGATTAATCAACAGCAGACTGATTTTGCAGGCAGCTTGAAAGACAGAATTTGATAAACTATTAAATATGTTTGCATGCATTATATTTTCAAGATCAAGTTGGTGTGTAAATTATTGTTACAAGGAGCATGTTTCATTTATTAATGTTTTTGTAACAAAGGATTAGTGGAAAAAAATCTACCTATTAAAGTAAATATAACTGTGGTAGTAATTCTGATAAACTGCATATTTGTTGTAGTTTCCAGTAGACATAAAAAGTACAACATAAAAGTCTCCAGTACATAATAGTCCATTGCAATAATGGTAATATTAACACTTACCTTCATTCCTTATAGTACTGCAATCCTGTACTGATGTTGGGAGTTATAAAAAAAAATGCTGTTAGTATTATTTTTTAAAGGAAATGTTGCATCATATAATTAATTTATATCACAATTACTAGCTAAAAAAATAATTAGTCAACATTGGAAAACTAAACAATCATTGTTGGTTGTAATATAATATATGATTATTGAAACTGTGGCTAGCTTGGAAGAAGATTGGATCTTATTTGAAGTTGTTGTCATCTTTTATTAATACTTTCTTTTCTTATTGAGAAGTAATTAATTAATAATATACAATGTATTATCTCACTCTCTATCTCTCCTTTTATCAGTTTTTTTCTGTTCTTGTGTGTAATACTAATTTGATATTCTTTTATTCTGTTGAAAACCCTTGAAGGCAGAATTTTATCAATTTTATGCTGTATTAATGCTAATTGTGTTGCAATAAAACAAACAAACAAATAAACAAATAAATAAATAAATAAATAAATAAATAAATGAATGAATGAATGAATGAATGAATGAATGAATGAATTAATAAAGTGGTTTGGCTTTCCTAAATGTCAACAACACTTCTGTGTTTTTCTTTGTGAACTCCCGTTCAATTTTAGTCATGCAGCTATGACTCAGTGGACAATCCCTGTAGGAAGGCTTAATAAGAAACATCAAATAAAAGCAGTAATTTTCCCCCATGGGCGAGGCAGTGGCGCAGTAGGTAGTGCTGTCGCCTCACAGCAAGAAGGCCGCTGGGTCACTGGTTTGAACCTCAGCTCAGTTGGTGTTTCTGTGTGGAGTTTGCATGTTCTCCCTGTCTTCGCGTGGGTTTCCTCCGGGTGCTCCAGTTTCCCCCACAGTCCAAAGACATGCGGCACAGGTGAATTGGGTTGGCTAAATTGTCTGTAGTGTGTGTGTGGATGATTCCCAGAGATGGGTTGCGGCTGAAAGGGCATCCACTGCGTAAAAAAAACTTGCTGGATAAGTTGGTAATTCATTCCGCTGTGGTGACCCTGGATTAATAAATGGACTAAGCCGACAAGAAAATGAATGAATTTATTTTCCCCCATTGTTCTTCAAGTTTTCAAGTTTCCTCTTAGCCTGCAATTATCTTATTTATACAACACTTCTGTCTGGTTCTCGAATCTGGGTAATAGCAGATATTAGAACTCGTACAGCCTCTTCACTCTTGTGTATTACTTTGCCCATATGAGTGACATGCAGAGGACTGCAGTTAGAGACAAATATTGCAGCTGTTGGACAACAAAATGTACTTTTGAGGCTTTTTGTAGGCAGGAATGTTGTTGCTTTGTAGCACAGCAAATACGTTTGACGTTGTCCACCCACAAGATGGTGACAGAGACCGCATGATAAGCCCTTAGAGAAGAAAAAATCAGCATAAAATTTCAAACTACTTGATCAAATCATTATAAATCTAAGAAGTGACATTCTAAGTCAATTTTTCTCTTTTGTATGTTGCAGGGTTTTTCTGACATTTTTGCTGTTCTGACATCAGCTGGAGAAGAAAATAGTTCCTTGTACAAAAGGATTTGGAGACTCCTTGTTTGATTTTCTTCTTTTTATATGCACTATCATGCCGTTGAACTGTTGTATAAACGCAATATCACACTCAGTGCGATGTGACTTTACATCGTCACTGGTGGTTCTCTAAGGCACTCGGCCCACAGACTTGTGTCAACACAGGCCTCCCACTAGTGCCGATATACAGCCATGTTGCACTGCTACTCATGATATTGCTCATATAGGTTGTTTAGGATATAGCTACATTTCACAGATACAAATCATGCCCCCCTAAACTTATACTTGCTTTTTACAGGTCTTCATAAAATCATTTAACTTCTTCTGTGTACCATCGTTTACAATTCACCTTACATCTCACCATTATTCCCAGAATATAAAGCAATATTGCGTTAAATTTCCATCCCTTAGTTATTAAGGAATAAAGCTAATTTACTCAAATTTGTAAATTTCTCCCTTTCCCCCCAACATTCAGCTTGTTATATTTATTTAATATAGAAAGTTCACAAATGGAAAAAAGTATAAAAATGCTAATAGGAAGTGACAACATACACTTAGATATACTGTAGTTACTAATATGGGCGTACTGAGGACGTATCAGATATATCTTATGTGTTGATAGTGCACAAGTGTTAGTACCTGCCGGGTAATAGTAACTAGTGTTAGGACTTTGGTTAGGCATCTTAAGGTTAGGTTATTAGCAGCAAATTTGGACCGTATGCCTACGTCGACATGTAAACTACAACACAGGTGTCAAACTCAGTTCCAAAAGGGCCGCAGCTCTGCACAGTTTAGTTCCAACCCTAATTAAACACACCTAATCAAACTAATTGAGTCCTTCAGGCTTGTTTAAAACCTACAGGTAAGTGTGTTGGAGCAGGGTTGGAACTAAACTGTGCAGGGCTTCGGCCCTCCAGGAATTGAATTTGACAACTGAACTACAACATCGTTAGCATATGTCCGGCCACAAGATGGCGCTACGTGTATTTTAGACAAAAACGATGCATTTCTCCCTCAGCACAAACGCGCGAAATTGTCATTATTCACAACTCTTGTGATTCTCCTTGACAACGTGAACATTTATTTTCGGCCACAGTAGGAACTGCTAATGGTATTTAGGCTTCTGGTGAATCAACGAAGCCGGTATCTTAACCTACGTTAGAGTATAGCAGTATTTACCGCGTCTGAACTCAACATGTTAGTCGTTTGTCGGCGTTATAGATATGTACGTAGTAGTTTTGCGGTTTAGCGGATGTAACGGGAGTTGGACACGCTCTCTGTGACTGCTGGCTGTATTTAGGGAAATCCACGCGTCCATGGAGGCGGCGCTTACTGAGTTCACTAAATAGACGGAGAGACACTTTCAGCGCTCAGCAGTCAGCTTTTCACTCAACGCCAATCAGTTGATTTTGATACGGTTAACGTAAACTCTGGTTAGTAGTAATTATATGATGGGACGTTTTCTAAGTCATCCCGTCCACTGATTCCTGTTCTGGCTGCCACATGAAAACGGCTCGTCGACGTAAGTATTCAGCTGTCTCTACTCTAATTTTCAGCAACTAACGTACATTGGAAACAGCAGGCGACTGCTTTCGATTAGTACAGAGAAAATATAAACAAGTCATCTCTCCAAATGTTTTCAGTAACTCTTTAGGAGCACAGTAACTTTTTCGTGATTTTGTGAAGGGTGTCAGTGTCCCAGGGATCTTTACACCTGGATATAATGGACCTCTTCAAGGTAACTAACTCTCTGGGTATTGTGTTTGCTTTTCAGTCGAGACTGTAGCTTTCTCACAGTGCTGCCCAATAAAGTGCTTTTAAGGTGAGTTGTTATATCGTTTCTAATGCTAAATTAATTTAGGCTCAGTCTTTTTTACCCTGACTGTTTTACACCAACCCTGCTTCACTTCTCTCAGAGATGCTGAACCAAAGCACATTCATTGAGGACTTTCAAGCACCAGATTAAAGGAAACGCAGCCTGAATTTGTCTACCTCCATCTTCAGTTATCCACAGTCTCAGAAGAAAAAAAACATGGCGTTTTTAATGAAAAAGAAGAAGTTCAAGTTTCAGATACACTTCACCCTGGAGGAGCTCACGGCTGTGCCGTTTGTGAATGGGATGCTCTTCTGCAAAATCAGACTGTTGGATGGTGGAGACTTTTCCATTTCTTCATCCAGGTAAGATCTGGGACTTTCTCTGACTCTGATTGGGTCTTGCACAAAGTTGCTATGGTAGTCATGGTTTCTGCCAGACGAAATAGTTGCATTTAGGCATGGGATGATAACTGTTTTCAACATTTGTAAAAGTCAAGGATTTAAAACTGTCATTTTTTGTAAGTTCCTAAGGTATGTGTAAGATTTTTTTGTTTTTAGGACAGCAGTATCTCCAGCAGAAAAGATATCCAAACATGTCATTTTAAATTGTAATGAAAACAGGAGAAGTCAATGATTCATTTGAATTATTTAGTCTGACACGTTTACCGTAAATAAAATATATTGGGTTTTTAAAGGGAAAAAGTTTTAGTTTTTTACCCAGACATTTTAAAAGAATATATTTTAGAGCAGTAACCACAATACCGCAAAACCATGAAACCGTAATATTTATATCCAAGGTTGTCATACCGTCAGAATCTTTTACTGGCCCATGCCTAGTTGCATTAAGGTAAAGCTGATTTTATATTTGCACATTCGCTCATTTAACGGCCCCTACAATATTTACCACACTCATTTGAACATTCAGTCTGAAGTCATATGTAAGTTTGACTTCAAAACAACATTAGCACTGTTAAATTGACTGAACAATGTTGTACTTTGATAGTCTCTGGTTGCTAATAAGATTTTACACTTGTTTCACTTAACTGTGGTGCTGACAGGTTTTATTTCGATTGAAACCTAGGTTATGTAGGTTTAAATATTGATGGATTATTGTATCTGTTTAAAGTGTAGCATCTGAAAATTAGGGCTGCACAATATATCGTTTCAGCATCAATATCGCAATGTGATCATTTGCAATAGTCACTCTGCGGGTATACTCAATGTTAAGTCTGGATTATAATTGATGATTTACATGCGTTTTTTTTCAGACCTGTGACTGTGTGAGGATTTTATTTATGTAGCATTTAGGCAAAATAAATTGTACTGCTTTAACTTTAATAGCAATGAGTATTTTAAACAATTTACTCACCGAAAATGACATTATTTTACATTTGACTATTCAATTACTGTTTAACTAAATACTGTTTGAGTACGCAGGAAAACAAACACTGTTTATTTCAGTAGTTTTTCTTTCTTTATTGTAGTTATGTAGCTTGTATATTGTTTATTATATTTTATGCCCTACAGAATCCTCCCAATCCATCTTATATTATAAATTCTTTCCAAATAGAGAGATTCAGGTCATCTGAAATTGGATTCTTATTGCAATATATATTGCAGAGTGACAAAATATCACAGTGTTAGATTGTTCCAGTATCGTGCAGCCCTTCTTAACATAGGTGAAAAGCATTGTTTGTATATATTACTGGAGATTTGGTAAAGGTTTCGTGAAGAACCCTTTCATTTTTTCCCCCTTCTGCCCACCCTGAAGCTCTGAACAATTTTGGCGACTGTTTAAAATGCATTGAGAAGACCACACAGGTTGGTTTGGGGGTAAACAGGTCTCTAATCAAAAGCCAATACATTTTTTAGAGGTCAGGGTCAAACCAGTATGCCATTCTTTACACTGTTCAGCTGGGTAAAGGATGTGCTCTTTAATCATTGCATAGAGAAAGCCTGAAGTGTGCAATCATGTCCATTTTCATGAATTCTTTGGTTTGTGACTAATTCTAAACGCATTCCTGCACTTGGACTGTGATTTAAAATGATTGTGCACAGATGTCAGTGGAAGGGTTGTTTATAAATAGAGGCTTAAGTCCTTAGTAGGTTAGACTCACAGTTGGGCAAGTCTAATCAGACACAGCCTAATTAGAACAATGAAGGTGCATTCGTAAATCTGAGTGAATCAGCAGTAAGAGCTATGATTTGACTCTGATTGCATGAGGCTTGTTTCCATCACGTTTTTTTTTTTCATTTCCTGGATTAAAGACTAGTTTACTTGCTAATATAGATAACAAATAGAGATAACTGGTTTTGTCATTTTTCTTGTAATCAATATTTATACTTTCTTACTGGTAGGCCCAGACAGAATCTGCGGATATTTTTTGTTATTTCTGCACCAAATTTAGTAAAAGATCTGTAGATTTATGCTTAATTATTTTGGAGTATTGTTACTAAAACATAATAAATAAAATAATAGCATTTTAACTCTTATCTGATGTTTATGATGCAAATTCAAAGTCTATCATAATATAAATCTACTAAAAGACAGACAATATTACATTACAAATTGTATTGTAAATAAATCAAATGAACACTTTCATATTAGATAATAATATTTCTGAAATTAAAAACAGAATAAATATAAATGGACACACATTTACACTAGTAAATAAATAGACTCGATGGGCTAAAAATCTGTGGATTTCTGCACGCACAGATTCCGTGTGGGCCACCTTATAGGATATCAAATATGTATTACAATAAAATTATAGTAATGTGTAAACACACAACAGTTTGGAAATGCTACAAGGCCACATTTAATATTAATAAATTCAATTAAACAAGTCATTGGGAAATATTATTTCAATTTAAGTTATAACTTCAGCATTTGGTGTCATGTGATACTTTAGAAAATATTATTAAATATTTATGCTTATTTTTTTGTTAAAGAAACATTGCTCATTTTTATCAAAGCAGTTTTCTTCAAAATACAAAACAAAAGCAAATAAGCTGTAAAAACAAAATGTGATCATTTAAAATATAGCTATATTTTAATTAAATAAATGCAATCTTTATTTAACTTTTTTTTTAAACGTGGATATAAAAAAAAATTGAATAACACCAGCTGTGTGCAATGTTGGAATCAGTAAAATCCATGTCATCAAAATCCCATTGGTTTCCTTAAGAACAGATTAGTTGACTAGGATTTCAGATCCAATAATTCATGTAGCCATTTTCAATATAACTGCAAATTAAAATCTTGTTCATTGCCCTTCACAGAAAACACAAGAAACGGTAGCAGTGGAGGCCAAAAATGTGTCTGTCTATTTGAAGCCTTCTTGTGTTGTGAAGTTGTTTTTAGTGGCACATGACTGGGGGTGGTGTATTGTGTGGGCACATTAACTTGCTAGCAGTGCCAGGCACAGTGAGTGCCCTCGTTCTGGTGCACTGAGTTGCCCTCTGCATTCATTCTGCACAATGCCTTGTGTATCTGATGTGAGGAGGCAGGAGAGGGTTATGTCATGAATGTCCCAACACCATCATTCCTCAGGACCGATGGAGAGATTAGATTGGATTTGTGTGGTACTTTTCAACAGAGAGAAAGTGAAAAAAACAAGAAGGAAGATAGAAACTGAAGATGGAATGCATGCAAGATGGATATTTGATCGAGGAGTAATGCACAAAGGAGAACATCAGGGTAAGAGAGAGATGGAAAGCAAAGAACAGGACAGAGACTTCAGTGATCGTCCAAACAGAGAGGCGTTTGTCTGACTAGTTTCCCTCTGCCCTCCTCCCCTCGCTCATTCTTTTCTCTCACTCTCTCACGTTTCTTCATCCTTCTGGCTTCTTTATCAGTGTGGACTGAGCTTATGGAGCGAATGATTGACAAGTTTTAACTCTCATAGTCATGACATACCAATAGTACCCCAGATTTAGTTCTAGAATCTGTAAATATTTGGAATAAAATACTTTTGCGGACTTTGCTTTTCTAGTGATCATGTACAGTACATGCATAGATATGTTTATGGGGTACTTTGGCATGGGCTGGTATAAGATTCTGATGATATGAAAATCTTGGATAAAAATATCACAGTATATATTTCACAGTATGATGGTATTGTGATCTTTATTAGTTTACAAAACACAGATTCTTTTAAAAGTTGAAAAGGCATCTTTGGATGTCTTTATTTACTTTGGATATAAAGTAAGCCACTGCAACGATCAGGTGCATAGCACATTGGATGCAAATAGCAGCATAGGAGGTTCGTTTTTTAAGTGATTTTTTTTTCTTTTTCTTTTTTTAAAGTTTGCTGAATCATGTGCTGACCAGTAGTTTTTGTTGTGGAGGGTCCTTTGCTGAAGATGCTGTTGCCCTAAAAAAGTAAATCAAATAATTGTAAAAAAAAAAAAAAAAACACTTGCAAATGCCTTAGGAAAGGTATATTTTTTTGTTTTGCGGTTTTAAAACATTGACTTTTCCATCCCTTATCATCCCAGGACACGGCAGATTTTTCTTTTTGGCTGTGTGTCTGTTCGTGTAGACGACAAGGTTTGTTTGAGCCCGGGTCATACCATTATTATATGCATATAGTATTTTCATGTAATGTCTCGGCTTCATATTTAAAAAAAACATGGCGGTTCCTTTGTTTACGTTCTGTGTAGCTCCATAAGCTCGTGACGTATCTCTGTAACCAATCAGCGTTCAGCTTTACGTGTAGCTCCACCTTTTCGTACCCTTTCTTCAGTTTGGTACCCTTTCGAAAGGGTGCCGAAAAAGTGGTACGATACGTTTTTTTGGTACGCTTTTTGACAGTGGACTTGGCCATAAAAGCGTACCGAACCGTACCGTACCACTCAGTGGAAACGGGCCATTAATTCAATTCAATTAAATTCAGCTTTATTTGTATAGCGCTTTTACAATGTTTTACAATCATTACTGAGAGTTCAAACACTGAAGAGCAAATTTATCGATGCGTAGCTCTACCAATCCTGAACCATGCGAGCCAGTGGCGACAGCGGAGAGGGAAAAAAAACTTCACCTGATGGGAGTGAAGGAAAAAAAACCTTGAGAGAACCAGACTCAGTTGGGCACGACCATTTTAATTTCTCCGCTGGCCAAAAGTCTTGTGCAGAGCTTCAGTCGCCGTGGTAGAGGCTGGAAGATGGCCTCAGCGAAGACTCGTCTGTCCCTCGTTAGAGAAATGTGCACCCGGCTGCTCTTGTACTTTGATCAGTGCGGCAACAAACCAACCTTGCACGGCACAAACCATTGAAAAATATGGGTTTCATAGCGCAGCACTTTTCACTTCCTGTGTGAAAGCCGCTTCACACTGCAGTACGCATCGTACGCAATAACCGGT